CAATGCGTGATTACATCAGACAAGGCTACGCAACGCGTGATTACATCAGACGAGGCTACGCAACGCGTGATTACATCAGACGAGGCTACGCAACCTGTGATTATGTCAGACAAAGCTACGCAACGTGTGATTATGTCAGACGAGACTACGCAACGCGTGATTACATCAGACGAGGCTACGCAACCTGTGATTATGTCAGACAAAGCTACGCAAAGCGTGATTACATCAGACGAGGCTACGCAACGCGTGATTACATCAGACGAGGCTACGCAACGCGTGATTACGTCAGACGAGGCTACACAACGCGTGATTACATCAGACGAGGCTACGCAACGCGAGATTATGTCAGACAAAGCTACGCAACGCTTGATTACATCAGACGAGGCTAAGCAACCTGTGATTATGTCAGACAAAGCTACGCAATGTCTGATTATGTCAGACGAGGCTACGCAATGTGTGATTATGTCAGACGAGGCTACGCAACGCGTGATTACGTCAGACGAGGCTACGCAACGCGTGATTACATCAGACGAGGCTAAGTAACCTGTGATTACATCAGACGAGGCTAGGCAACACGTGATTACGTCAGACGAGGCTACACAACGCACGATTATGTCAGACGTCAGCGACAAGCTTTGCGGTAGTAAACAGGAAGTGAAACTTGCTAACTAGCAGAGGCTAATCATCTCGGGACAATGGAGCAATTTTTTCGTGAATGCCTTGCCATTGGGCAAGTTGTAATTATTCTATCTATTCAGCTACAGGCTATGTTTAACGCTGCCAGGAGACGTAGGGAAATAAACACAATGTTAAACTATGCAGCAGAAAGGCACATGCAACTACGCAGGGCTAACATCCATGACGAGGCAGGAAAGCGGAAACAGCTGAACGTCACGTGAGTTAAATATGCCCTACGTCAGAATTTATTCGGCAAACGTGTTTCCATCTCCCGTTTTGCACATTAACTACTTTGCCAATCATCCAAAAACCACCTCAAGCGAGCGTAAAAACGTTTTCGTGAATTGAGGATTTTTTTTTAATTTTGTTGTATCCATCTGATTTTTTTTCACATTTTTAATGCAACACTTCTAAATGCGCATCAAAAAGCCTTGATGGAAACACGGTTTATGTCCTGATGCATCTCAGTAATCCAGGTAGAGAAAAACAAAAAGTAAAAATAAGTAGGTCCTCCGGATGAGTTCTTCTTTAGTGAAATGTCTTTAGTGAAAGTCTCCTTCAAGAGACTTCTTCAGTCTGATGAGTTTCAGGTGAACTCAGCCTTATAAGCACTGCCTCCACATGGACAAACAGTTTAGTCAGTTTGAGAGAGGAGTAAAAGAAGCCATCTTTGTGAAGAAAAACCGTCCACTGTTAAACAGAGGTGGAGGCCTTCGTGTCCAGTTGTCCTCCTCCTACAACTCTGTTTTTGCAAGTATGACTCCGCCCCCTGTGAGCAAAAGGTGTGAATCAGGGCCCCAATGATACCAACACAAAGAGGGAAAGAGAGACAAAAACAAGGGGACGTTGAACCCCGCTTGCATTCACTACACACACAAGACACGACACGGGTCAGATGATGGGTCACATGACCCTCTATGAACAATAGAGTTAATCAAGCCTACTGTTAGTCGATGGCCCTCTTTTGCATGTGACTAACCTGTTTGTCCACCATGTGGAGGCGGAGCTTATAAGGCTGAGTTCACCTGAAACTCATCAGACTGAAGAAGTCTCTTGGAGGAGAGACGAAACGTTTCACTAAAGAAGAACCATCCAGAGGACCTACTGATTTTTTCTTTTTGGTTGTTTCATTAAAACGGGAAAATAATCAATTTTGTTTTTGCATTGATGCAACAAGTATTTTTACAAAGTGACAAAGTGCAACAGCAATGTGTCCCTCTGAGTTATTAATTGTTTTTATTAGTCTACTGTCTTCACTCCAGTGCCCTTACACTACCTGTCTTAGTTTTCTTCTTGCATAAATGTCTTGTTCTGATGGTTTTGGCGGGGCAGCACACGTTTTCCCCTTTAAGCAGCAGAGGGATGAACCTGTTGATCCCTGCGTTCACTTATACTGTGGAAGAGAAGTGAACAGAACTTGTTGTCTACCTGATGACTGGTACACTGATCATTGCTGTTTAGTGCCTGAAATACCACCTGATCAAGGCAATGAAGCTTGAGAGTTTGCTTTGTCAAGTTATTTGCTTCCAGTAATTTGGAAAATTAGCAATACGTTTTATTAATAAAAAAGTTAAACAGAAATCAACACTTAATAAAAATGTTTTTGATGTGATCCACTGAGTAAGGAGCAGGGTCAGACAGGTTTGTAATCACAAATTGTATAACCAGTTGAGCTGTTGGAAGAGTAACATGAATGCAGAATTACAAACACGCAACCTTTACCTAGTCAAAGCATGTAAACATTTGAAAAGAAAGAGAAAACTCTTTGCTGTTATTTAGAAACTT